ATGTAATTTCATAGCCCTTTTAGGTTAGATTTGCATTTGATTCAAGTTGGGATCTAGTATTGGGGTTAAAACCAAGTTGTGGGTTAGTTTTGGCAAAAACCCCTATAGTATATTGCATATTATAAAAGTCAAAAAAAATTATTTGTATTTGAAAAATTATTTTTAAAAAAGTTATAGTTTTTTTAAATTTTGATAAGTCATTTTAATCTTTAACTTTTAAACTGGAACTAATAAAATCTCATACTTTCATTGACCAAGCCATTTTAGACACGCCGTCAATGTTAACTATTCATTAACGGAGTTAACGGTTTGAATTTCAACATGTGTAAAATGGTTTGGTCAACGATAATAGGTGATTTTTTGTGTTTGACTAATAGTTGATGTATAAAATGGTTTATTTGTAAATTCATGGTTTTTTGGTTTAAATTCTAAAGTTCATGGTTTTTTGTCAATTTTTCCTTTATTTTAGGCTAACATTATAATGTATTTTACTTATATTGGAAGAATAAAGATAAAAGTTCAATTAGGAATCAATTGTGTTCTTAGTTCCATGGGAACACACCATTAGGAAAAAAATACAGAGATACATCATGGAATAACATTTGAAACAAATTTAATATTACGTGATGTAGTTTCATTTTTTTTTAAAGGGCACATGATGTAGTTTCAGATTAGAAATTTTTTAAAAGGTAAATTTTGGAAAAAGAAGATCCATTAAAGCTTATTACATTTAACATCCACGTTAGTATTAAAAGAAAAAAATTTCCACGTTCTGGGAACTTCTTTGCTTATGTAAATCAATAATGCGATGATCACTACTACCAAATCGTATCTTTTAGATAAGCACAGATATTATATATTTACTATGTCTGCCGATCAGTACTTTATATTACACTCATTGGTGGAGAAATGTTTACAGGTATAGAATAATGTTAGCGTGCAACATGAGATAATAGAATACATATTATGGAGTATATGATTATGCATATGTAACCTATGTTACATGGAAACGAAAGCGGAAACGCAGCAGCGAAATCGTACGGAAACACGAAATCAAGATTTAAAAAAAAAGTTAGAAAGCGGATATATGTTGGAAGCATATATCCAAATATGTATATATATATATAAATATAAGAAAATTTTATAAAACTTATAACTAAGAATTATATGATTCTAATTTAAAATAAAAAATTTATTCATTTATTATAATTTTAAATGATTGCATATCATAATTGTGAAAATACAAATAAATTAAGTTTATAAAAAATATTACCAATTAGTTATTTTTTTTACATTTAATAAATAATTAGCACACAAAATTTGAATATATATATATATATATTATATATCTTTAATAAAAACAGTGCATACATATAATTTATAGTATTAATATTAGTATTTATATATATATATATATATATATTCTCACTATATATATTATAAAAAATAAAATGATTTTATATTTATTTATTTATATATGATATTGTGTTTTTAAATTGGAAACATGATTCCAAAGTGGAATCGTAAACTTCCAACGTGTTTTTGTATAGGATATTTTAGAAGTGTTTTGGAATCGAGATTCCGCAAGCTTTCATAAGGTTCCGGTTCCGATTCCGATTCTGGTTCCTAAGCGAGAAACGCATGTCCGATGAAGCTTCCGTGTAACGTAGTATGTAACAACACATGTGTCGGCCTCAACTCAATCATCAACATTAATATATTTATAAAGGATAGCATCAAATTCAAAATTGGCATCCCAAGACATGGATTATGATTTCTGTTTTACTTCTTACAAATCAAAATTTTTATAGCACATAGTATACATACAATTATATGTTTGTTTAAAGTACTTACCCATATGAAAGGGTAATATAAGATCTATATAAGTGACGTTTTAGCACATAGTATACATACAAGTCCTATGTTTGTTTTAAAGTACTTACTAATATGAAAGGGTAATAAAAGATCTATAGATATAAGTGACGATATTGATATAGATATGGTTGGAGTTCAATAACTTCAACTACACTCATCCCTAATCATACAACATTTCATTGTAATACTAATGAAAAGTGAACCTGGAAGAGTAAAAATAAACTTACTGAGAATGAAAGTTGTTATCCAATTTAAACTAAACAAGTTTAATCAAGAAATTTTCAAGTAACTACTGATAATTCAAATTAAAATGATCAAATGAAACTTACAATATAATAACAACAAGTAGACAAGGAGTTAAATACATTAATACCCTCTTAATTTATATAATAATTTGGTTTCAGCTAACACCATGTTTACCCAGGATTCTTAGTGGAGTTCTTAATGCGTGGATCCCACAAAATCTTTAAGGAACGATTACAAAAATTATTAGTTAAGACCAACATTATCATCCACTTTTATTTTGGTCCTTAGAAGAAAAAGGTGTGGGTCCCACCACTTTGGTGGAAAAATTGTCCCCCATTGTCTTTAAATAAGGAATGTCTGTTATGTTGTCTTCACTGTATGCAGGTCCCACTAACACGTAACGGCCCATAATTGATCGATTTTTTTTTTTTTTTAAATCAGAAATCAAAAAGAAAAGTTTAAAACCCCCATAAAAGTCTCACCGATAATCATACCTTAAGAACCAATTTTAGTGAATTTCTTATACTGTTCGCGGGCTCCACTAGCACAAGACAGCTTGCAATTAGTTTACTTTTTAATATTTTTTTTTTTGAAAAAGACAAAAAAACCTTAAAGGAATAAACATGCTCTAATCTGTATTAAGGAGATGAAGTAAATATGGTCGAATAAAAATAGTTATTTGTTGAATAAACTAAATTATTTACAACTCAACGAGTTTTATGCATACTAGGTATTTTGCCCGCATTTGCGGACCTAAACATTTTATAATTATTTTACTAATATACTTTTACTAATTGAAAGATTATAATGATAAATTATTATTTATGTTTTTTTTTAAACCCATAATATTCATATTTTCATTTAAACATTCTTACATATATTTCTTTGTATATTATGTTCACTATTAAAAATAAATCTTAAAATCAAATAATATTTCAATTATATAAAATTAAGAAGTTTACTTAATATTTAGTTATGTATTTTCTATTTTTTATTAAAATATATGTGTAGATAAAAACACAATATATATAAGAATTATCTTATTTAAATACATATTATTTAGATTTTGGATAGTTCTTATGATTATTATTAGTTTTAATTACTTATGTTTTATTCATTAAGGTAATAAGCAATATTAACCAGTGTAACTTTTAACGTGGAGCTCCATTGAGAAAAATCACTTAAATGCGGACCTGCAGACTTAATTATATTTAAGTCAATTTAAAAAATCATCAAAATAAATGATTATTTACATCCAAATAATTCGACCTATAACATTAAACTTTTTTACATTGATAAAGTTATTCACACCTTTAAAAAAAATCTATGTTTTCCTTTACAATTTTGAAAAATATAAACTCTATTTAATTTCTTCTTAATTGATAAAAAATATAGAAATCTATCTTTCAATTTGAAAAATTGAATCGATAAATATACATTCAAAAATTGATCTTATACAAAGAATAAAATTAGTTTGGATAATAATACAATATATTTGAATATATTTTTGTCAAACATGTATTTTTTTTTAATGATCTTTTATTTTATATGACTAATTCATGTTTAAGGTTTAACTATATAAAATATAAACATAAATTTAATTTAACGTGTGAGAGGTGAAAAATAACTTCACGAATATATATCTATATAATATTATTATATTATTTTAATTTGAAAAATAATTACGTATTGTACTTTTTAATTATATAAAATTAAAAATTTTACTTTATGAATATTTATTTATGTGTTTTTTTGTTTTTGAATTTTTTATTAAAAATATATTTTCCGGATAACAACACAATATCTATAAGAATTATCTTTTTTTTTTTTAAATATATATTTAGATTATGGATAATTCTTATCATTATTATTAATTTAAAATCTAATCAAATAAGTATTAAATTTGTTTTATTATTAGCTGATTTATATATTATTTTCATTAAGGGTATAAACGATATTAACCACTCTAACTTTCAACGTGAGAGCTCTATTGCGAAAAATCACTTCGCAAATAATAGTATAGATTACTTCAAAGCCATGTGACATAAATATCTTTAGCTTTGAATTAATAAAATAAGTTTATTGATTTAGTTTATAATGATGACATTATTCCATACATGATCTCAGTTGAAAACAAATGTAAGCCAATTTTATTGAAAGGTACTGACAGGAAAATTATGAAACATAAACAAGATAAAAAGTGTGAAAATCAAAAGAGAAGAGAACAAGAAAATTAGACAACGTTTGTCTTAAGTAAGAGTGTTGAGAAACTGAACCCAAACCACATCTGCCTTCTCAACAGTTTCAAGTGAATATTCATAAGATGCTTGCACCTCCTTCCACTCACGCAAATCCACACGATGCTTCTCATATGCTTGAGACGATTCCTCTAGAATTCGTGAAAAATTCTCAACAATCTTCTGAAATTCAATCTCAACTTGTTTCTTCTCAGCCTCAAGCTTCAACACTGCCTTCTTCATGGCGAATATTTGAACGGCCAAATTGTCTCCTTTCTGAGCCAAAGCCTTGACTAACTCGAACTCAGCGTCCACCATTTTTTGCTTCTCTATGGCCATGTTTTCATGCAATATGACATGTTGGTGTACAGTTTTCACTCGCTGAGAGGCCTTGAATCCTTCTCTTATCACAGCCCCATATGTGGCCAGCTTCGATATGTACGTTATTTTAGCTCGGGTTAGTTCCTCATAAAGTGCAGCCATTGTTAATATCTCCTCGTAATCTGAACGATGCACAAGATCACGCACCTTTATACCAACATACTTTTTCAGAGTCATTTTTAGCTTTTTTACTTTCTCTGATGTTACATCTGTCCATCGCCCTTTCTTATGATTATCAACAATCTCGGTCAGTGATGTTATGAGACTAGATGTTTTTGACGAGGAGCCCTACATATCAAAGTTAACACCATAATAGTTATGTTACTAAACTAACTTATTTTACCATAATATATATTTCATGAAAGATGTTCTCCAAGCCTGAGGATTACCTTAATGGATTCTTCCTTGATAATGTCATTTAAGTCATATTTTGGTATAACTATAGAATCGTCTCCCTTAACACCATCTTTGTTTGGGTTAATACAGCGCCATGCACCTTCATATATGTCCACAACAAAAAATATCAAGCTCTTCTGACTTTCTTGTCTAACTAGAGCATTTTAGAGATTACCAAACAGAGAGTTGAACATATTTCCTTAAGTTAAATTATATAATCAAATCTCTCCTTAATACATTTAAATTAGTTAGTTATTACATAAAGAGTTGTAACTTTTCATGTTGTGTTTTTTAATATGAAAATGTGTGTCTGTACAATTAAGAGTTATATCTTTACTACAAAGAATTGTGTCTTCTCAACACATTTGTTCATTCTCTATAAATATAGATCGAGTATTTGTCTCAGAAAACAATTCAGTTTTAAGTGTAATACAATACAAGTTATATTCTGTTTTTTCTTTCACAAAACAGAGCAAAAACATCTGTGCCTTGGAGAGACAAAGTGTGGAACAGGAAGAACTTCTTACCAGTTTCAGAAGCATCCATTAATTCAGCTTCAGATCCAGCATTTTTATTAAAACCTACAATTGAAAGGACAGACCTATTAATAACATAACCGATCTGCATGGCCTATTAATTACATTTGTAACACTATACCTTCCATTAGACGTTTGATGTTGTCCAAACTGCTCGAACTTTGACCCGCTTCATAACTACTAGCAGCTTCAGACTATATAATCCAAAGTACACAAACTAGAGATTAGTAAAAAAAAACTTCACCTTTAAGACATGCCAAAAAAGGAAATCAGATTCCTCATGAATTAGCTTAGAATTTGAGCTATAAACATCAAACACTGTTCTAGGTTAACTTTGTTTTTTTAACCTAAGATTGAGTTATGAACACTTTATTGCCAAATAATTAACTATAAACATTCAATGAATGTTCTAGGTTTACCTCGGCTTCAACCGAGTGAGACATAGATGATGTCGCTTTCCCTTCGAAGGTTTGGACATTAGCTGCAACCAAACAGAACCCAAATTCAGTATATACCCTGGCTATTTATATATCCTCTTTTGGCTATTTATATATCAACCTTAAGACAACAAAAATATTAAGTTTGTCAAATATATATAGTTTACATTCAGATTCTTGGCTATCTAACGTTCCAAATTCGCTGCTTCCGCCAACCTGAAACAAGTATTAAATCCATGCATGCAAGTCAATTTGAATTCTGATATTCAGCTTCTTATTCCTTCTTTTAGTTGTCTTGTATGGTAATTAAGAAAAAGGTATATATAAAAAAAAGAAAAAAAAAAAAAAAGAAAAAGGTATATGAATGTGGCTTGCTTACCTGGCAAGAAACCTCATGGAAGCTTGAGGGAAAGAGACACATTGCTACGGCCAAAACCACATTTTTCTTTCCCATCGCTGAGATTGTCATTATAAACACCAAACTAAAGAGGTGCGATGTGCGATGTTTTGGTCCTTAAGATTGTACTTTTTATTTGTTATGATGTTTGAAGCAAAGCCTCTTGTGCTTTAAATAGAGCCCATGATGTAGACTAGGCTAACGAGTCTCTTATATAAAGATATATGTAATCAAGTCTCGAGTCTTTTTTATATACTCATCAATAACATACCGTATTCTAATTTCTATGCTTCGTAATCAATGATGTAACTATACGTTATGGTTTGATAACTTTTGAAGTTTGTTAAGTGCACCCGTTATTTTATCATAAGTCAGATTAAAATCTGGTAGTTCCATGCACAGACGACCAGGGAGATAAAAATCAAGTGTTAAAATTCCTGTTATTGCTCTCTACTAAACCTAAGATTTTATCGCGGTTAAAACAATATATTTTTATGAAAAATTATTCAAGTCGTATTCGTTTCTGCATGTACTGTAGAAGCACGGCCGGCCGGCTTTGACACTGGACGATAGGTGCTACGGTCTTGAGTCCAACTCTATCAATGATAGCAAATTTCTTTATTTTATACTTTCTCTGTTTCATATTAAGTGTCACAATAAAAATTTTGTTAAAAAAAAATATTGTTTTCGAATTTTAAATACAAAATTTATTAGTTTTATTATATAATTTATTTTTTTATTTGGTTAAATGTATACGTAATTGTATTTTTATATATAAATTATACAAAATTAATTTTTCTTTTTTTTTAATTCATGTGTACAAAACTCAAATGATACTTATAATGAAACTGAACAAGTACTTTAAACAAAAAAAAATTATACATAGTTAAAGCATGTTAAATTGACCACAAAATTAGGCTGACATGGCTATGAAGAATAAACGAAAGAAACAAATACATAATTTATGACTTTACAGAGTTTAGGCCGTATATATTACAAGACTGTGAAATTGACATGAATAGACGAATGAAACAAATACTTAATTTAAGACTGTCCAGACTTGCGGTCAGATTTATAAGACAGAGAAAAGTTGACTATAAGATATAAGTTTTGACTGATTGCAAGAGAATTGGCATGGATTCTAACCCAAAATAAAAATAAAAGAAACGAAGGAAACAAACATATAGTTATTGACGTATTTGACTTATAAACATATTGTTTTTCACCCTTTTGTCCCATAATAATAGATTTCCGTCGTCCAGAAAATAGAGCTCGTCGGGAGTAATAAGAATAGTATATGGGGTTGGTTTAGACTTTTAGTATGCAAATTTCCGTTAACTTTGATCGATGTTTCTAGGTGGTTTAAGGTTAGACGACAAAACGACGACGTCTCGGAGATCGAAATAACAGATCGTGTCTGTCTGCTCTGCTCTGCTCTCTTCCTTCAAAATCCGATTTCAGACAACCTTTTACTCGGTCAGAACTCAGAAGTTTTCAACTTTTAAGGCCAGTTTCCTTCTTCCTTAAACTCAAACTCCTTAGTTATAAGTGGTGGAATACTCCTTCTTATAAGATCCATAGAATAATATGCTCGGCCCATACAGGCTCCAGCCCGACTAGATAATCTTTTCTCGATCAACGGTTAATCGAACTTAACTCGAGTAATCCCTGCGATTAGTCGAGTCAAAGACCTTTAGAAAAAATGGTCGCCTTAGCGGGCCAGCCAAGACCCATCTGATACAAGGCCTTCAAACTTGCAAATAGCTCGCTAGGTTATGAGAATGCCGCTATAAAAAGGAAAAGAAAGGTAACGAGAAAGGGATCCGGAAATCATTTTCTCACATACAAGGCGGCTAGAACAAGGTTTTGACTCTTGTATTTACCTTCTGACTTGTACGAAACGGCTGAGTTTCCGAGCTCACGCCGTCTCATCCTTCTGTTTCTTTATTTGTACTCCGAACTCTTTCGTCAATAAAACCATCATTTGACTCTAAATAGTAAAGAATGTATCTGAAATAACCCACAGGCGAGTCCAATCACTCATTCACTTAAAAGACTGAACTCGGTTCGAACATTAGCTCACGTTTTGAGTTTCCTCCTTCTTTATTTTGCTTTAGTCATTGCAAAAGCGCTTACTTTTTACACTTCTGTTTTGCCTTGAAAGAGAAAGACGAAGTTGACTTTCAGAATCTCAAAAAGATTCAAGCTTTTGTTTGAATTTAATATGATTTTTAAATTCCATGCCTCTGTTTGATTTTATGTTAAAAGAATACGTTTTTGAATGATGAACCGATGCTTCTCTATTGCTTGGTTCTCACTTTTTTGTGATAGATTTTTAAAACCATTTTTTTTTGTTTCAGTTGATGATGTTAAGTACATAAATCGTTGTTTTTGTTCTGAATCTATTTCCTAATTAATATGCTCTCTCTCAAGTAGTTAAGCTACTGCAGTTTTAGCTAAACCGGTTTTACTTTTTAACCAATATCTTCTTCATCACTTGTTTGAAGAAGCTTAGCAAAAATCCTACCGTTGCAGTTACAAAGTTTCCACTGAGGTTAACTTCAATCTGCTGGCTAAGCCGTTTTTTTTCAGGCATAGCCGAGAGATTACTTTGTTCATAGTGACAGTCTCTGCTTCAAGTATGGAAAAACAATATTACTTACGTATGGAAATGCACAGTAGTTGCACTTCCCAGGAAATTTGTTTGCCGTGTCCATACGTAAGTAATATTGTTCTTCTAAAGTTTAATTCATGTGATGAGTTTCTGTTGTAATATTTATTTACTTTTCTAACAGATGGTGGTCCAAAGAATCCTCCCATAAAGAAGGTCATGAATTTTTTAATCACGTTTTTTTTAGTGATTTCAACATTTTTAATTAGTTCAAATTGAACTTGAGAAGGCTTTGCCATTGTTCTTTGTTTCTGATGATTCAGGTAAAGAGACGTACCAGGAAAATGAAGTACATTTTGGTGAGAGGAGGAGTGATGAGTGGACTTGGAAAAGGAGCCGCTGCAAATCCACCCCCAACAGAGATTCTATTTGATTCATTTTTAATAATCTGTATTGCAGAAGAGGGAACCAACACTTTGGTTGACACAAAAGTATTCTCTGCCAATGCCATGATCAGCACTTTGATCAACAGCTTCAGTTTCCTTTATATACGTTAGGGTCTTGCCATGTTCATGTTCCAGCTCTGTGACAATTTTTTGTCTCAACGGTCTCTTCTCACAATTAGCATGAACCACGTAAATGTCTGGTAGAATCTCTTCATTGTACTCGTGGCCAGCAAGGTACTTGTTGATCCAAAACTGAGCGATTCCAACTTGCTCCGGATAAATGGGTAGATTCTCTGGATCCCAAAAAGCAGCTTTGGCACCATTTAGAAACTCATCACCAAGATGACTTAGTTCAGGAAGAAGAATGAGATTTTCAGGATTAGTTAACCATTTTTTACTCTGTTGGTCTAAGGAGAGAGCTTGAGAACCAGATGAAGTAGAACAAACCACAGTTAGAGCGGATGAGTAAGATGGCACCACTGCTTACTGAGCTTCGCCTTTGAAGGAGAGGTTAGGGGACTACCATGAAAGTGCAAGAACTGTGCAGGTTCATAAGTTATCTACTTGTGTGTTTTAACTTCATATGGTTATAATTTGAGTGAGTGTTTGAACAAAGCTTTTTAATTTTTGTTTAAGTGGTTCCGCATATTACTGACTCAATCCAAGAGTGGAAACTATATACCTTTGTATCTTTTCCAAGAGAATACCATACCCATAAACCTCAATTTTGTAATAATTAAAAAAAAAACCTTATACTTAGGTGTCACTTAATTAGATAGTCAATTACATTCAATTGAAAAATAAGTAGGTTCACATTCGATTTTTATATGTCGCTAGATACATTCGTTGGTCAAACTATATGATATGATGATATGATATAATATTTACGATAGAAACATTAATGATTGTTCCGCTATATATAATTACTATTTTATTTTCTTTCATTAAATAAAACCTACGGAATTACCATAAATGACTTATATATATATATATAACAATTAATGATTATAATAATAAATATTTGATAACAATTTATATCTCCTCCATCATTTTTTCTTTAATTTTATATTATTAAAATAAATTAAATAATCAAATTAGCTATAAAATTAAACTTTAGATTTTTCGTATATGTTATATTTTGAATTTAAAAAAAGGAGAATAAATTACTAAAACTATTAAAATTATTATGTTAAAAATTAAGGATCAATAATTTAAAATTTTATTATAAAAAGACACACATGATTTTAAAACCATATGAGTAAAGTATCATTCAATAATAAAACAAATATATATAGATTAAACTATATACCATATAAGACTACATAAATATTTTAATTTCAATGAATTTTCAAGAACATTTATAAATTATTAAATTATTAAATTTTTCACATTGATTTTTTTTGTTATCAATGATTTAAATATCTTAGTTCTTTTTTAATTTTATATTATTAAAAGATATTAAACAATTGATAATATGTTTTTTTTGGTATATAAAATACAAACCGAATGTATGTGATTTTATAAAAACCATAGTATTTGGATATGGTTTTAATTTATAACCGATTAAACTAAAACATGTAAATATTTATATATTTATAATGACGCATGAATATCTTTTTGTTACATGAGTTGAATTATAATTATAATTTTTAAATCACTTGAACTATAATTAACTATAAATTTACTGCAACTCGAGCTTCTTATTTTCTTAATTTTTTTGATCGTTTTGCTTTATTTAAACAGTAACTAAACTGAAGTAAAGATTATAAATTTGATGGACAAAAATTAGTTGAAATTGTTTACAACTTTTTTTTTATCTTTAAACAAACAGAATTGTGTTCAATCGAAGACATATTAATTTGATGAACACTAAATATGGAAAAATATAAAAAGTTTTCTTTCATGCTTATGTTTTATTTTTTTCAAAATTTAGAGGTTTGATATTAATTCGATAATTGATCATTTTATTAGATGATAGAAGCTTTTTCTATTATTTTATTTAAATATATAATATG